TTGCTCTGTGAGCAGCAGGGCTTATGAAGGCCCTATTCCAATGGATTTATGTCCTATGTCCTTCATGTTCCTGCCCATTCAACTGACCAGTATGTCCTGTCTCCTCTTTATATCCACCACTCTACCTCCAAGGTGTTCCTCCAGGGCTACAGGAGGAACACTTTTCCCTGCAGTATCTCCAGCTCTCCCTCATCTACTTTAACTGCCACTCAGTTTCCCCTGCTCGGTACTTGTAGCTCTCTTAGAAGACTTTTAGCTACTTCTTTGGCATGCAGAGGTCAGAAGAGAAGATGCACTGTCACAGTAAACAAGGGAAGTGGCAAGTAAAAATATAGAAAATTGCTGAGTCTCCAAAAATTGCTGAGGTACCTGGGCCAGTAACAAAAGCTGACCAATTTTCTGCTTTTTTGTGCCATTGTAGTAACATTCATATTGGGTTGCATTTCAACTTAGATGTAGAAGTTTATACTCAAATTTGGAGATCTAAAAAAAAAATGGTATGGGGAAAAGCAGGTGAGTTTTCTGGTTTGACTCCCAAAATATAAAATTTCCATACTCAGAGCATAATATTTCAGTGGTATAAAGTTCTGGGGAGTTTCAGGAGTCATTTCCTTTTGGAAAAGACTCTTCAGAACATTTAAAGTTCTTGGAACCAGAATATCTGATTCCCACACAAATCCAGATCTATTTTTCCTAACAATGAAGAAAACTTCTCAAACAAGAACTGGAAATATTTTCTAGAGCATCAAAAAAACCCCACCCCTGTATTTACCTTCATCATGCCTTCCAAGAAAGGGGGGTACTATTACTGCTACTTTACAGATGGAACGGAAGCTCAAAGGCTAAATTACATACCTGCTGCCAGACAAAAGCATGGTGGGACAGGGAACTGACTACAACAGTCCTAATTTCCAAGACAGTGTCTTAAACACTGCACCACTTTTCTTGAAGGGCCCACACAGTCTGCACTATGCACAAATACACCTTGGACCTTAGCTAATATGTGAAAATGAGAGCTTCAATATGCATTGGCCTGCACTTTGTTTTTTGCTCTGTCCTGTTATAATTGTCCACATGTAAACAGTGTATATATATTCTGCAGCGCTTTCTTAGAAGCTGGAAAATAATTTCCTTCCACCAGCAAACATACTATTTGGGCTGCGTGACACCACAAAAAAAGCCAATGCAGCTTTTCATTTACTGCTGTGTCTGCATGTTAACATGAAGAAGGTCAGTAGGAGTGTACACAGTACTGAGAAAATGAGTAGTTAATTATTGCTAGACTGCAAGAAGGGAAAATACATGATTTATTTTGGTTTAGAAAACTGCAAATCATGAGAACTGCTTCTTTTACTGGACTGTTTTTTGTGGAAGGGCACATGTACAGTAAAATCTGCAACAATCATTGGACACTATTCAATGTGCTTTGAGTACTACAGAAAAAAAATCCCCTCTCAGCAGCAGGAACAATCTCAATAAACAAAGTGCAATATTCAGCAAGAAAAATCCCATTTTTCTTGTTCATGTGTATAATCTGGCAACTTGCCAAAATCTTTTGCCATGTTTACTCCTGAAGTGTTTGTGCTTGAGAGTTTCATTGCATCGTGGATAATGTTTCAAAACCAAGCTGCATTTAGACCAAAATGTAAGATTTGCTCTTCATGGCACAAGTTTTAATAATTTCAAAACTTATCAGCATACAACAGCAGGCCTAAACTTAGTACAACCAAGTGTTTCTGTTGGGATGTCAAACCACTGTCTAAAACTTTTCTCTAGTCCTCCAAGGGCTGAAGTTATATTTGCAGTTCATATTCCAGCTAGAATAAATAAGGAAAATATACTCGTATTACAAAATAAAGATAACTGTTTGTAAAACGTTCTAAGAAGGCATTTTTATCAAATGTTTTGTCCCAACCTTTCTATCAGAGCCAGTGGAACAAAACTAGCAAATCAGTTCCTCTTGAAAAAGGTGGACTAGCCCCTCCTGAATACTATAAATTATATAAAATTATACATAAACACATCTAATAACTTTGTGTCACTGTGTTGAAAAACAATAGTTGCAGGCTACAAAAGTAGCAAACCCTATTAGTTACAGAGGAAGATAAGAGTCCTGGGAAGCACAATTTGGTATACTCAACTTCACCTGATACTAAGTATCTAGGAGAGGCATTCACTATCCTAACACTTTAAAGACCTGACCAATCAGCCCACTTAATAAAGTGAAACCCAGCAAGTGAAAAGTAATGATCATTAAAACCAACATATACCCTTTTCAGAGTTTAGATTCATTTCAGTAGTATTCAAAAGGTATACACTGTTGCAAATTCAGGCAATTACAAAACTTACCAAGCAGTTTTGCGCTGGAATGAACTAGAGATCACAACCAACAGACATGTACAGTTCTATAAATGTTGAATAATTGAGTTCATGTACTCAAATGTTTTGCAATGTTTAAGTAAAAAGAAGGCAAAAGGCTCAGCACCTGCCAGCAACAGCCACTATTCTGAAACCGTCTAACATTTTTCTAGGCAAGATCCTGACTCAGCAAATTGCTCAACTTCACAAAGTAAACGAGTAGCAGAGATTGTCTCATCTCCTAACTCCAAAATAAGTAATTCAGTATCCTTTGTCACATCATTTATCCTGAAAGAGTGGTTTAACAACTGCTTCGCACTACCATGATGTATGCTTTTTAAGCATTTGTGTCACCAAGTGACAGAGCAGCATTACTGAACAATTCCCAGTCTCTCCTAAAACTGTTTTTTATCTAGTCAGTTATAGATGAAGTATCTGCATTTAAGCAATGCTGTATTTCCACTGGAAAGGTATTTTAGATGAAACAACTTTGCTGAAACTGTCTGATGCATCAGTATTATTTTGTTCAAGAAAACAAAAACCAAGGATCCCTCATTTCTGCAATCTCATTGAAGAAAGGTTTAAGTGATAAAAACCTCTTTGTTCTTCAGTTTAACTGATTCTTCTTTTCCTAGCAAACGCTGAATTAGCTTTGTATTCTGTGCTATATAGTGAATTCTGTTAACATCCCTACAGTGAACACATACACTCACTCTGGCTTCAGCCATGTGAAATCACCTGAGAACTCAAAGGAATCAAATATGGTCACATTTTCTCAGCAAGCAAACCGAGAAAACTGTAATGCTTACAAGTGGTAATAGGAGACTAAAAAAAACCCCAAACCTCAGAAAAGGAAACATGTCTGAATGGGGTAGGGGGAATGACAACAACACGTAGAAAAGTTATATAGTAAGAGAATGAATGGTGGTTTGGAAAAGAACACTGTAAACAGAGTCTTTCATCTGTCTTAATACAACTGTGTGATGTCCAAAAAAAAAAAAAAATCAAACTAACTTTATAAATAATACTCTTCATAACTTAAACGATCCTGCAATGGTCTTTAAAATGTTATACTATAACATAGGTAGCTAACTACAGATGGTATATTCAAGTTAAATGTCCATGCTACACTCTGTGCTCAAGAACAACAGGTTATAGACTGTAACTAGACTGTTTCTTTTGAAATCTGAAAACACACAGTTTATTCAGAACTTATTGTTAAGACCGCCATTCAGTTTGGGTAAAGATTTTCAGTAGGGGCAATCCTTTACTTGCCTGTTCTAATGATCTTTATGGTCACCATGAAGTAGTGCTTTTTTAAAAAGATTCTTTAAAGTATCTGCTTTTCTATCCCAACATTTGCTGCTAACCTCCTGTATCAGGTGTAGCAGTCAAGGCTGGTAGCAAGGAAGGCAGGCTGCAGGAGCTGCCCCATGCTGGCCACATACAGTTCCAGCTGGCTCGGCAAAGAACCCACTGCAAAACACAGCTCAGCCCAGCAGCCAAGTGGATGGCATCTCTGTGAAACCAGACAAGCAGAGGAATGAGGGGAAAAAAAGTGAAGAACAGCAGTACAAACACTGAAGTCAGAAAAGAAGATGCAAGAGGAGATGCTCTAGGCACCTTTGCAGCTCCTGGAGAAGATCGTGCTGGAGCAGATACCCACAACACAGCCTGGGGAGGAGCCCACACCTGAGCAGCTGGGTATTTCCTGAAGGAATTGCAGCTCATGAAGTGCCCACACAGGATCAGGGAAAAAGCATGAGGAGGAAGGAGCAGAACAACTGTTACAAGCTGACTGTAACTCCCCCATCTGCCACTCAGGGGACCGGAGGGGAGGACAAAGAAGAGTCAGGAGTAAAGCTGATCCTGGAAAAATGGAGGCAGTGGGAAAGTGTTATTTTAATTTTTGCTTCTCAGTATCCAAATTTATTTTAATTGGCAATAAACTACATTAATTTTCCCCCAAGCTGAGTCTGTTTTGCCTGCAATAGTAACTGGTAAGCAATCTCCCTGTGTTTATCTGGACCCATGAGCTTTGTCATCCTATTTTCTCCCCCTGTCCCATCGAGGAAAGGGAGAGAGTGGTTGTGTGGGCACTTGGCAGCTGGCCAAGCTTAACCCACCACACCCACTCGCAAAACAAATGAAAAAAAGTACGCACTGGTTTAAAAGGAAGAAATTTTAATGTAAAAATTTACACTCACCATGTTATATTTTCTGCACTGATCCCTCTCAGTATATACTTCTATCATGTTTTCATAATAAAACCACAAAAAGTAATTTTCAAACTAGAGAGGAAACTGCAGCAGTCTGAATGATTTATTCTATTAATAATATATTCTACAAGTGTTTACAGATTTAACAATTTCTCTTCCCTTTTCTCAAGAAAATAAATATTTCAATTCTAAACTCAAGAATCATTCAGTGCTCTAACAGTCTGTGTGCTATGCCTCAGCATCCACTGTCAAAACTAGCATGTTTTTATCTCTTGGGATTCCAACCAGTAACCTCTGTTGCTCCTCATGTGCCCATACAGCATATTCAGAATTCTTCTCCAGCGACACCCAAAGCCACACTTCAGTGAAAGAAGAAACAGCTGAAGATCTCCATCTTCAGTTTTGCCTTGCAATACACCCAGCCGCCAACATTACTTTCTTCCAAATGGATCAGACCACACTTTTAACCCTACAAATCAAATATGAGAATACCAGCAGTTCATAACTAGACTGTTGGAGGAAAAGAAAAAAATAAAAATTGGTCTGCTACTCCAGCCTTGTGTACAAAACAATGAAAGAACCTAACAATTTCTGCACCAAACTCACAACTCTGATTAAGCTTGCAAAAATATTTAGAAACACAACCTCATCTTGATCTTAAGCTTCAGATAATAGAAAAACCTATCACACCCATAGTTAAGGTGTTCTAATACTGTTGGAACAACCAACTAGAATTGCACCTTGCACTTGAATTTGTTTAGATTTCACTTTCAACTAATGGATCTTGTAACTTCTCATCAGCAGCTAAATTTAGACAAAAAAGTTATACTGAGGAGAACTGATCATCAAGTACCTGCATCTTCACTAAATGAGCCAGTCCAGTCCTCTTTAATGTTTAATAAAAAAGGTAGGTTTATCAAACTTCTATTTCACAATGCCCTTCCTCCTCTTCAGCATTTCACCACTTTCCTGGAAAGCAAGTCCTGCACTGATGATTTAACTGATCTGTGTAGTAAGGACATGACATTTATCCTATTTGGTTTTCCCCTGCTGATGATGTTACACTTTTCTAAAAATAGGAATGCATAATACTTTAACATACTCAGATATGAAGTGTTTCATCAAGACAAGCACTCTCACGTCTCTGAAAGAGAAGTGCCAACCATTACCACTACCAGTTCCATTACCTATGAAACAATGAACTCTGAAGGATAGTTTGCCATACTTTAATTTTATTCCCCTCATGTGCTTTTCTACACCTTCCACTGGCAACAGCAGGGATCGAAAAGCTATGAGCGCTACATTCCAAATCTGCTTTCACCTGTAATGGTTTTCTGCCTTACTCCTCTCCCCATGAGGCTGGAAGGTACCGACAAAGTGCTCATAAATTGTGTTTCAGCTGAATTGCAAACCAGTATTCCACAAAACCAGGGTGTAATAATGTATTCTTTACAGCTACAGTTCAGCTCACCCATGGTTATTTGCTCTGAGCTGTTCAGAAGTTAATTTCTGTTGTGGAAACTGGCATTTGTTGAATAAAACACAACAATAACAGAATCTCTGCAACTTATTTAGCCAGTTAAGTCAAGTTAAAACAGGTTTCATCAAATCCATAATTTTCAAGTGAATCATTAGCCTGAAAAAACAATTTTCATGATAATTTTATTATATATGTGTTCTTTGAATGTATTCTTCACTGTATTATTTAAATTCATATAAGTATTCAGGTCTTACTTCAAGAAGGTCTTTAAAACAATCAATGCAAACACATGAACTGAGTATACCTGCAGGCTGAATATCCTCTTGAACAACACCAGCTCGGTTTATTGACTGTTCTTTCTCTGGAAAAACAGAAAAGAAAGGACACCACTGAAAAAAAGAAAGCAACAGGCATATTGACTGCACCAAATAAAACAATATTGAAAATTTCTTTCATTCTGGATGCTACAAAGAAAATTTCTGGTGAGTATCCACCTATACAATGCAAATGTAGCATTCACACTTCTCTGAGAAACTAACAGCTAGTCTGTTTTGCGATATTACAAAAATAAGATAATTCTTAAATATCTTAAATATAATTCTTAAATAATCTTAAAGTAATAACTACTGTTTAGTAAAATATGCCAAAACACCCTCCATGATCCCATCACTTAAGGGATGATTAATACTTTTAGGAGCTATCACTCATATGCTCAACATACAACTCTTCTAAAGATTTATTCTTTACAGAATCAGTGATTCCCATTTTTCAGGCCTTGGAAGACCGTGCATCCTACAAGTAGATTTCATGACAGCATCTATAGAATTACTGCTTATAAACTTTGTGAAATTAAGTATGAAAGGGATTTTTTCCATACAATGGACCAGTCTCAGGCTTTTCTTTCTTTGAAAGATTCAATCACTTCCAAGAAGAGAAACGGACAAAACTATATTATTTCCCCTTATTAAATGCTTCTCCTTTTTTTCCCCTTCCAGTTAAGCACTTCACCACTGTAGTATTTCAAAGCAGGAAGTCAAAGCAAAGCTGGATTAGCCTTTTATCTATACAACTTAACTTTTTAAGCCTTTAAAAAATTGTAGGGTGCACATTCGCAGGGGAAGCTCAGAACTAAGATCATCTTACAACTGAAATTTTCAGCATCCTATCCCACTGAGAATGCACAGGACCTACATATTATTAGGCTGCCTAGGTACAAGCTTAACACTACTGGAGACTAGCAGGCATATCACAGTAATTAATTCTACTGGCATGGGGGCAGGCAGTAGAGGCAGATGCAGCTTCTCCAGTTCTGTTCACTGAGCATGGTAATTGCCATTCCATCCTTTTTAGCAGACAAACTCTCAGGGAACTGTCTAATTTCAAAAGAAAAGGTACAAAACCCAGACAGAGAAAACAGAACAAGGGCAAGGAAACAAGCTTATTGTAGAACCTGAAGGAGAAAGATAATTAGGTGGAGACTAAGATCAGAAGAAAAGCTGATTCTCATTTTGGTCTCCGAGAGGTCCAGGAATGCACTTGGGGTGAACAGAAAGAGCTGTTAACTGGTCAGGCAAAGAAACCAGTGCAGATAAGTAACAGATGAGAAATACACAGATAGGATACAGTCAATAGGGAGACTGGTGTGGGACCTGAAAACAACTTGGAAAACAGGTAAGCCAAAAAAAAGACAATAAGGAAGAACCAGTCTTGATGAGAGGAGAGCCACCTCAAAGGATGGGGAAGGAGCTGAGTCTCACAGTTCAGCAAAATCACAAAATCTACTGCAAAAATCCCCCAATATCAATCCAAATAGCAGCTGCCAGCCCACTTTTTTAATTAATCCAAGTGGAAGAGGTCTGTGCTGAAGACCTCAAAGTTTCAACACTACCACTAAACTAACTACATGTTTCAGATGAGGAAACAGTCTTTTTTAGAGCTAGTTGCAGACAGGAAAATATCAGAAACATCAAGGCCACAAACCGAGGTACTCAAAATCTACAAAGTGATCGCATTTTTGTATGAAATTAAGTCAAACGCCTGTGTGCACAATTTAAGGTTCATATTAAAAATTTGACTACATACAGTTTTTCCAAGTATCTTCTATTTTAATTGTTAAACTGTTAAGGACTCTTCTAAAGATGTGTGAGAATTGTGCAGAAAAGTCTTCTTCCTGAACATAGTCTGCCTCATTCATGTAGAATTAAGGAGATAGACAGGGAAAACAAGATTGAAGAAAGAAACAATAGATTTTCATGTTTACATATTTGAATGTCACTCCAGAGAACTAATATATTCTTGCATTTTGCAGGGTTACTATGTGATGCTAATCCAAATGTCCAATTTCAGACGCAGTGTCCCAAAATGCAGAAATACTGAGTATTCACGCACAGCTCAAACCAATGGGGGGTGTAAGCTTCTCCAGAAGTTGTACAGCTTACCAGACTGTGCTCTGAAAAACCAAATCCTTTATACACCAAAGGTTAAAATACTTCTGCTCATGTACCACAACTGTGAAATTCCACGTTCTTGTCTAAAGTATTATGACAACAAAAGCTTGTCCTCTCATACTGCAGTGATGAGCATCAATAAAAGTACACAGGAAATTAACAGAGGTGAGATCAAAGGAGAGTTTGAGCAGCATTCAGTAAGTAAAGTTTAGAATCAGGTATTAAATAGCAAGTTTAAGAACTCACTAACTGTGCATCACTTGTGCTAAAAGGAGAATAAAAAAATCCCTAACCTGCTAGGGAACATGTGCACATGTAATTCACAAGTATAAAAGAGGACGTTGTCCACTAGTTCTGTCCTTTCATTAATGCTGAGTCACACTTGTAATATTATATTTTTGGAAAGTGCACCATAAGCAAAAACTAATTAAGTTTTTTAAATGGGAACACAGAGTAGAAAACCCATCTTTATGGGCAGCTTCCAACTTCACAAACATAGCTTCCTTAAATGAAAACTAGCTCACAAGTTAAATTTTACTTCAGCTTTGATGAAAGGCTGAAGTCCATCCAATAAGATCAATACGTTTGTTACCATTTTTTTTTTCTTCCTAGAAATCTCTTCAGTTGTCTCAGGAGATTAACCACATGCATCTTCAGGTTATCATCAACAGCTTAGTTTAATAAAAGTTAAAGGGAGGGGATGAGGCTGGTTATAGCAGAACTTTTCCCTGATTCCTTTGGCCACAGTTAACACAAGTTTAGGGGTAACAGGTGCTCCTGGAGCCTCCGAAGCTTCGCTCCCAAACCTTCAGGAGCCTTACAGTGTTCGAGAGCTCCCTGGTTACAGAGTCAGTTGTAGGCTTGGTGGGGTGTTCTGGTTTTCTAGAAGGGAAGTGAAGTTTCCTCAGCAGTCAGCTTCAGAGAAAACTCTGCAGACTGAGGCCAGATCCAGCAAATCATCACAAATAGTAAAAAAAAAACAAAACAGTTACCATGTTTTAACTTAAGCTTTTCAACTGCAGCTAGAAAATATGACTCAAACCGCTTAAAGAATCACAGAATAGTCTGAGTTGAAAGGGACATTTAAAGGTCATCTAGTCCAGCCCCCTGCAATGAAGAGGGGCATCTCCAACTAGATCAGATTGCTCAGAGCCCCTTCCAACCTGACTTTGAATGTTTCCTGGGATGGGACATCTATCTCATCTCTGGGCAACCTGTTCCAGTGTTTCACCACCCTCATCATAAAAAGTTTCCTCCTTGTATCTAGTCTGAATCTATTTACTTTTAGTTTAAAACCATTGCCCCTTATGCGATCACAACTCCTACTAAAAAGCCCCTCCCCATCTTATAAGCCCCCTTTAGGTACTGGAAGACTGCAATAAGGTCTCCCCGAGACTTCTCTAAGGTGAACAACCCCAACTCTCAGCCTGTCCTCAAAGGGAGGTGCTCCAGCTCCCTGATCCTTAACTGCATCTCCCCCCTCATAACCGCTTCAGAGAACAGCTTCCTTAAGCTGAAGGGTGCTTAATCACATGCTGGCCAATAACTTGAAACAAGAGTACGACGAGTTTAACTACTCTTTTTGAAGTGTCTTAAGCAGAAAATCTCTCGGAGTTACTCACCCAGAGGCAGCGCACAGCACACCAGGGCCCACCCCCCCGCGCCACAAACCCGCTCAGAGCGGCACAGCCGGGCCG